GTTAGTCTTAACGAGTGATACGAGTTTGGAGCATATGTGTGATAAAAATAGCTTATAATAGCTCGCGATGTGTGATAAGCATATAAGAACAAACTTTTATTTGGGATAAGGGATATGTGGGAAAGTGATAGGATAAACTTGGGATAAGACAGATTATTTTTGATTAAGTGATAAGAGAGATACCTGAAGATGTGTGATATAATAAAGGTCATACAAAAATAATAACAATTTATTTCAGAACAGTCTTTGGCTTTCTCTTGGATTGGGTCTTCTATTATTATTGCCAATTATTGTACTTGCCTCAATATTAAATCCATTATATCGACGTACCAATGCTTATAGCCAATAGTAAACATTTCGAAAATTTCTTCTAAAATTCCTTTTAATTGTTTTCAGTAATGTTCCAAGCATTACAGACTGTCCAAACGAAAATCATTTCCAAACAGATATTTATAATATGGATTCAAATAATTATATTAGTAGTGGAGGGGGAACATCAAAAACGGCTAGAGTAAAGAACAATTTAAATAGCAATAATGGATATACCCAACACTATCATCACGGAAATTACCAACCTCCCTGTACGCAAATAACATCGCCATATGCTTCTAGTTATGCTGGATATGGATATACTGGACTGGGACCTCCAGTTTATATGGGAACTAATAGGGGATGAAAGGAGGAAGAAAAGGAAGAAGAAAATTGTAAATAAAAAAAGGAAATTAAAATCAGCATTTATTTTTAAAAATATAATTTTCCCAAAAAAGCTCATTTAGTACATTTCCCCCAATCTCATATACACCTCTGACTATTTGGGGCTGTAGAAAAGACTAAAAAAATTTTATTTTTGGACTATATGAAATAAAAAGTAGGAAATAGAGAATTTTAAGGTATTTTCTGCGGCCTGTACATTTATTGAAAAATCTTTCCAATAAAATCATGTATTGAATGGACATACATATAGATAATCGAAGAAGATATATGAAATAAATTTTCAAAAATTTCTTTTAAAACTCCTTTTAATTTTTTAGTTTAAGTGTTAGATTAGAAATTTAAAGAAAAATTTTGTTTTTAAAAAATATTATGTCCACTTACATAATTTTTCCTTAAAATTGTTTGTTTCAAGTTTACATTTACTTGGACATTCTGAAAAATTGTTACAATTTTAAATAGAAATTTTCTAAAAATTTAAATCAATATAATCTTTCATAATTTTGTCATTTCTGCTGCCAACAAAATATAACAATTTAATTAAATTTTGTATAATTTCAAATTTTTTTCATTATTTGGAAAGATAAATTTTCTATTACTCTTATTGGTTATTTTAATAAAACAAATTCATTTTTGACGTGGATTTTTGGAAGCTTATCGTTTTAAAAATATGTATTGCTGATGGGGAATGATTAATTTACCTCTTATTTAATGAAATTATTGGTAAATTTAAATGATTTAATTATATAAAAATAAATTTGACTACATGCTACATTATAATAGTACCGAAAAAACAAATGTTAATTCATGTTAATTTTTTTATTTTTCTGTTTTTTTTCTTCTGTTTTTTTCTTCTGTTTTCTTCTGAAAGCCCACAAAATTTGCTACAAAAAACACTTAGTACTATCATTGAGAAAAATTTTATCACTGGGGAGCAATCGGTTAAATTTAGAAACTCGAAATAATGACATTTTATGGGGTGATTTGGCTGAATTTATTCGCCATCTCATTTAACCAAAGACTCCTCAAAGGTAGAATTTTTGTCATGGATAGGACCTAGTGGGTTTTGTAGTAAATTTTATTGGCTTTCAGATGGACTATAATAAAAAATTTTATCTACAGTCTACACATGTGAAAATATTTTTTAATTACTGTACCCCCCATTTCCCGTTGATTTTTGTGATTTTGGATCTCGATGAAAAAAGCACTTACAGATTTCGTTCTTTTTTATTTTCCCTTATTATCAATGAAAATGTTTGCATGAATTTTTGTAGAATTTTTCGAACATTCCTAATATGATTTCTGAAGGTGAGGTTATAGTTATGTGGAGGGTGTTTTTTGAAAAAAATTGAATAAGAAATTTTTGACCAAAGATTTTTTTGATTCTCGGGTTTATATGAAATGTTACCTGCTTTAATTAATATAAAATAAAAATCAGCCCGATTGATTCGGTAGAAGTTAAGAAATTTGAAAATTTAGGGTGAGGTTATAGTTATGTGGAGCAGTGTATACTACTTTAGTTAAAAACATTTTTAATTATTTATAAATTATTTTTTTATAATTATTTTACTCAATTTTTGTAAGCTTTTTAGCTTTCCCCTTAACAGGCTGTTTATCTTTTTTGTTATTTTTCTTTTCATATTTAACTTCAAATGTAGAAACACCATCATCTTCAACATATTTATATGTTTTCTCACAATTTTCCCCATTTTCTTTACATTCAAAATCTTTTTTCAAATACCCAAAATATATTATTTCCCCTTTATTATTTTTATAATCCAGCTCATATTCATCGTCAGTTAATTCCATCTCGTAATTACATTCATCATAAATTACTCCATCTATCTCTACTTCTTTACAATCTGTATCTTCTAAGTTTAGTATATCTCCTAGATATAATTCTGGAAATTCGAGAAAAAAATTTCTTTCATACCCAAATTCATCTAAAATTAATTTAAAGATTTTGAAAGTTTATGTAAATCTCTTAAAAAATCTGGAGCTACGATTTGTAATAATTATTTTGGAAGTACGTTTTGGCTAAAAAAATTAATTTAAACTTAAAATTCTTAAAAATTTCGCTTGGAAATACACTAAATACTCACTGAAAACATGAAATTATTAGAAACAGAAATTATACTTGTAAATTAAACTTTTTGTATTTTAACTTAAAATTTTCTCAATCGGAGACCTAAATAAATTTATTTCTCCATAATGGTAACTTTATATTAATTTTAAAATTATGTAGGTATTTATCAGCAGAGGTGGGTCGGAACAGGTAGAGGTGTCGGAACTCGGAACTGGCTCAAAAGTCGGAAATCGGAATTCCGACCAACCTCTATTTATCAGAGCTGTATTTTGTTCCGCTTCCGTCTTCCGCTTTCTCAAATTCAAAATTATACAGCCCTGGTATTTATATAGTTACTAACTTTGTAACATTCCATATTGTGTCATATTTTTTTGTAATGGTTTTAAATAAATATTATCAACTTTACATGGAGCAGTAATAATTAAAACACAAAACATTGCTCCTTTTAAATATTTAGTTGGTAAAATTTTGTTTTTTGGAATATTTTGACATTTTATTTTAATTTTTTCTTTAAAATTTCCAACAAATTCGCAAACAGATTTTGAAATTGAATTTATATTTTTAGACCAATTATTTGATGAAGATGATTCTCTTATTTCAATCCCCTCCTCCTTCATCGTTGGCAATTCTTCAAAAACATTTCTAGTTTGTGATTTTCCTTTCTTTCCTTCCAAAATGTTTTTTGATTTAACAGAATGTATTTCTAAATATAAAATATATATTATCTCTAATAGATCTCTATTTATTTTTAAATCATCCAGGGCAATTCTATTTGTTAGAGATAATACGGTATTTTTAATTTAATTTTATTGAAAGTTAATACTTAATTCGACCGAAAAAAGATTAATACTTTGCTCCCGTTTGGAAATAAATTTAAAACTATGTGCCGAACATACTAGTTTCTGAACATTCGGAGTACAACTCTTGTATAATAATACTGTAAAATATATAGCTATTTATAAGTAATTCCTAAGTCTGTGCAGAAGGTGGTGTGGTGTAATGAATAACACATCAGTCCGGTCTACTGAGGATGCCGGTCAGCTCCCAGCCGCCTAATAACCTTTTGCACTAGCTAAAGGAGAGTAATAGCTATAGCCCAGCTTCTTTTACTGTACAATACCTGCTAAAACACAAAGCATGAAAATGACCAAGAAATTAGATTTCAAAATCATTCTTTTAAATTTTGAGAACTTTTCCTTGAGCCAAATCTGTTATTTTTTTTTGTTTTTATTAAAAAAATTTTTTTAATGATTAATATTTAGTTTTACTCAAGTATTTAAACACATTTTGTGCTTTATAGTTTATTAAAAATTAGTTCATAATTATTTAAATCAAAAGATTTGCCGTCTTAATATTTTTAATAATTAAGAAATTTTAAAGACGGATACTGTTATCAAAGACGAGTTTTGTAAATTTGCACTTTATTAATATATCAATTATCACTTTATTGCACTTTATTAGTCACTTTACACTTTATTAATAATTTCACACTTCTAAATTTTTTCTTAATTTGCACTTTCTTTGTATTTATTCAAAAAAATTTTTTACATACCCTTTCCCTATTAAAAAAATTTCAAAATAAAAATAAAATTTTATGAAGTTTTATAATTATTTTGAACAAAAAACTCCTTTTGGAAATAGAATTTTCTATAAAAACTCTCAAATACTTTTTTTAAATTTCTAACCAGGGTTCCAATTCGGAACCGAACTAATCACACACACACGGCAAGTTAGAACATGGACACACACGTTTAGTTAATCCCTTTGCGTTTATAGCCTTATGGCAAACATCAGAATAGAGAGAAATGTATAGGGAAATTACTAGTGCTTGACCGGAACCGCAAATTTGGCCGGGACTCGAACTGAAATTTTGACCGAAACCGGATCTAATTCTTTGGTTCCGGACAGGAACTTCCGGTGAAGCTCTTGAAACTACCCATTTTGAGGAATATGAAAAAAATTTGCTTTGAGACTTCATTCCATAAATATAGAGCCATTTTTACCAATAATTTATGACTGCTATAAGAACTATCCCAACCGTTAGTTTATTTAAAAATTCAAATTTACAATGTCATTAAGTAAAATTTAACAAGGCTAATTAAAATAATTATATACTTAAATATTAAATTAAATTGAAAGGCTTTTTAGGGGGTTAAATTACATAGAATCGTTTAAAAAATAATTTAAATATTTTCTTCAATAATTATTTACTACCTCCAAAACTTCCATTATTAACCGATTTTGCCCTTCTTCGTTCAAGTACTTCTTCTATAGCATTATCTTTATTTATACTTCTTTGGAGAGCACTAATCCAAGAATGCATTTCTTCATGTCCTGGTGCTGCCATTCTATAAGCGGTGTGTTGCCCTCCTCCTTCGATTAAACGACCTTTAAAAATTTAAAGAATTTTAATTTTAATAATTTGTATTCGGAAGGAGTGCTTTTTCAGTTCTAAAAAATAGAAAGGGGGCTGTTACTTATTTCCTATTCATGGAAAAAATTTTGCACGCGGACATATCAGGATATTTCAATGTACGAACAGTTACCCCACTGATTTCGGAACCTACGGCCACTGGGTATTGGATAGTATATTGTTTGAGGAATAAAGTTTTTATGTTTTAGAACAAACGTAAACGCGGAAGAAATTATTTTTGTCACCCCAATCCCGATATGTCCGCACACCAAAAATTTTCCTTCCAGGGTTTCAGAATTTCTAATTCAAAAATTTTTCAACTAACCTTCAGAATTAGTTTTGTGTGCCTTAACAATCTCAGAATTTGGAGAATATAATTCAAAAGTGTGCGGCTTTTTACTTGAAGAAAATGAATCAACGTCCTTGTATCCAACCATTCTCACACAAATACCTTCCAATGGAATTATTCCTTTAGGTTCTCGACTCTAAAATTTTTTTTAATTTTTAAAATTATTTTTAGAAAAAAACTCACATTTGGAAATTCAAAGTAATATAAACATTTATTTGAGAGGACAAACCATCTTTGATTCCAAGTCCAATGATTACTACCTAGAAAAATATTTTCTTAAACGAAATTATTCTTTTTTCATATATAGACCCTTCCACCTTATTTGAGATTTAAAGTTAATATCCTCCTTTTTTCAATTAAAAATTGACTTTGACAACAAATTTATCCCTAATTCTTTGATTGGTAAAAATCGAAATTTATTAATAGTAAGATTAAATAAGCGAAGGAAGAATATTGAAAAAGAAAGTATAAGAAAAAAGTATCGGTTACTCACTTCCCCTTAAATTAAGAAACAATTCCCAAAATTCAAAAACAAAATTTAAAATTTTTAAAAATAATCAAACCTTGTTTGTGTAGCCATCCCTGTTTTTCAGCCATTCTAAATAAACGAGAAGAGTTGTAATTTAAATGGTTATCAATTTGATGATCTTTTGGGAATTTAAAAGGTTCTTCACGTATTGAATTGTAAATTTGCTTAAAATAAAATAATTAAAGAATAAATTAAAGAAAAACAAACAATAATTAAATCTCGAGAAACATTTAAAGAATTTGTTATATTTAGAAAATCATCAAAACTCATTCTTTCTTTGACACTTGGATTGTAAAGTGAAGTGTTTAACATAATTGTTGCGAAACAGAGAGTATAACAAGTATCTAAAAATAATTTTAAATAATTAATTATTTAAAGAGAATGAGGGAAGTAAGGCTGTTAGAATTATATTTCGAAATTAAAATTTCAGCAAGGCTCACTTAGCGAGCTTTTCAAAGAAAATAATAATTAGGCTTTGCTATACATCGATAACTAAATTTGAGCAAGTCTGAACTTTCCCTCTTTCCAAATTTCTTTTTTTGCCTATGGCTAGTGAATTAATCAGAGTTAAATTTGGGCAACATATGTATGTTAAAAATTAACAGAAAATTGATCTTAAATCCCCTCTTCATTAAGTATTAAAGGAAGGAATTAAAGAAAGGTAAAAAAATTCCCCAACCAACTTTTCAAAAAATATTTTCTAACCAGAATGATCAAAAATCGAAGGATTTTGTTCACAAAAACGAATAGCAAAACGTTCCATTATTCTATCAATTTTTTGTGCTTCTCCAGGCAATCGAAAAGAAGAGAGAAAGTTACGCATTGCTTGAACCAACATTAATCCCTCAAAATTTTGAAGACAAACAAAATGTCGGAGAACATCTAAATTGAATTGTTCATTTTCTCCAAGAAAATCCCCAACTGCGGACTAGAAAAAATTGGAAAAAAATAATTTTTTATTAAAAAACCTTTTTTAAATCATTATTTTTTAATAAAAAACGAGCAAAATCTTCAGCTGAATTCTCAACCAAACAAGCATCAATTAATGATTGGACACCCTTTTTGTAATCTTCATTAAAAGCACTAATAGCCAATTTTTGAATTTTTGCTTTTGGTAATCTAAAAACTTTAAAAAATTAAAAGAAAAATCTAAAACCGATTAGAAACTGGACTCAGCGTTTCCAATCTTGAATTTGTTTTTGACAATTCTTGTTGAAGAATCTGGAATATAAAAACAAAGAATTGAAATTTTTTAAATGATTTGAACCAGGCCCGTAGCCAGGATTTTTTTTCGGGGGGGGGGGGGGGGGCCAAAGGGGGAAAAATTTTTTGCGCCCAATTTTTGGCGCCGAAGGCGCCAAAAATTTTTATTTTCAGCGCCGTAGGCGAAAATTTTGAGAATTTTAGAAGGCCGTAGGCCAAAAAATCCACTTTTTCGGCGCCGCAGGCGCCAAAATTTTGATTTTCAGCGCCGCAGGCGAAAATTTTTTGAATTTTGGACCTCAAAAAGCCAGATTTCTTCCATTTTTAGCGCCGCAGGCGAAAATTTTGAAAATTTCGAAGGCCGTAGGCCAAAAAAATTCACTTTTTTTGCCCCAGCCCTTCCCCAAATTTTTCCCTTTTCCCCATTTCGGGGGGGGGGGGGGGGGGGAATTCCCCCCCCCCCTACCCCCCTGGCTACGGGCCTGATTTGAACCTGTATTTCATCAAGTAATTGATTTTTTCGGGACCTTCAAAAAAATTTGTTAAATTAGGAAATATAAAATAATAACCGTAATTGAGTCAAACGTTCATACTCGTCAGGTGTAAGATCAACTGTGGAAAATGAAGCAGTCATTAAAAAAGAAACGACTTCTAACAAAATAGCAAACTGAAAAGTAAATTTAAAAATTATTTTAGAAGACAATTCGGAAAAATAAAAATAATTATTTAAAAAAATAATTTTAAACAGTCAAAGCTTCAAATTGCTTAAAAGATTTATTCACATATTTTAGATTAATAATTTTTAATAAAAAAAATATAAAATATTAATATTATTTTTCGTTGTTTAATTTTCCTATTCTTCAGAATTCTCATAAAATTCTTGAGAAACGTGGTGTTTAGAAACATCATATTTAAATGGATTATTATCCAAATCCTCTCCAAAGTTAGTTTTAACAGAACAGCATTTCAGACTTAAATACGGCTTGCAATAATTATCAGATAGTCCTTTTATTGATTTGCCTAGAAATAAGAAAGCAAATTTAATATTTAAGTCTTTTTTGAAAAATAGTAAAAAAGCTAGAAATTATTTGGCCTGATTAAAGACCTTTTCCGTAAGAAAGGAAAAAGTAAGGAAAAGGTGAGGGGTGGAGGGGGCGAAGCTTGGAATTATCAAGAGTAAAAGTTGAACATTTGAAAGATTCTTTCAATTTGAACTAAAATAATTCAGACTTAATATCCAAATTCGAAAATCCAACTGGGCCATAATAATTTTCAGATCGAAAACAAAAAATAAAAAAATTTTACCAATTAATTTCCCGTTTTGAGTAAAGAAAACATAAGGTTGTTTTTCAGGCATATCAGTTGGAGGGAAAACTAAACCGCAACCCAAAACATCGCCATTCCTCCAAATAAATTCGATTTCGTCCAGATCTTCAAAGAACTCTTCTCCTCTAATTTTGTAAAAAATTCGGAAATCGTGCGCTTCAATTGCGAAAATATTTCTATTGCTGAAAAATCCAACAGTTAATTCATTTTCATAATTAACACGATCTAGAATAAACTGACAAGTTATTTCATAATAGAATAGAGAATAAAAGAAGTAATCTTTTTCAGGCTTAATAAGTCTAAATTGTGCTTCAATAGAACATGTTACATTTGTTCCTGAAATAAAAGAAAATTTTATCTAATTTTAAAAAATTGTTAGTAACGTTCGAAGTCATAAAAAATGTCTTATAGGGATATATGACAATATTTTGTCAGCAATCTTTTAACCGGAGATTACTCAAAACAAGAATGTTGTGACAACGTGAAAGAATTTATCAAATGAATAAATATTTGAATGTTTTTTCCGTTAGTTAATTTCGAAAAAATCAGCCTACTATTAACTCTTCTAAATAGGGTTGTCGGTTCAAGGAAAAACTTAGGATATCCAGGACTGACATGAACCGAACCCAAAAATCATCTGTTCGGTCCAGACCGACAACCCTACTTCTAAACATCCTAATTAATATATCAGTAAAACCCCACCTCTATCTTCTTCACATTCATAATATTTCACACTGTCACTGTACAAATTAATAAACCCATTCCCATTAACACACAAACCCCCAGGAGCTTTTGTATTTACACAATCATTGTCACAACATAAAGAATTTATTGTTGTCCACTTGTTTGGAAATGGTAAAAAGCACTGAAATAGAACCAAATAGTTTTATTTAAAAAAGCAAAAACTGACCACTCTTTTTACGGACATTTTATCCAATTGCTCCAATTTCGAGGTTAAATTGTCAATTCTTTTATTTAATGCAGAGCTTAACTTAAATTAATTTCTTAAAAGATTTTTAAAAATAAGTTAACTAACCTTTTGAATTTTCTTATCATTTTGCTTTTTCAAATTTAAAATTTCTTCTTTATTTTCATTATGGATAAGTTGTACTCGTTGTTTATTCTGAAAAACAAAAATTTATCTCGAATGCCTCCTTCTAGGGTTGGGGGCCCGATCCGGCCCGGTCCAAAAGATCAAGTCGGGCATCGAATTTTGGACGAAAAGGACTAGGTCCGGCCGGCCGATAAAAATAAGGCCCGAAAAAAATGACTCGAACGTCGGTCCGACTCAAAAACCCCAACCCTACCCCCTTCCCTTCAAAAACCAACAAAACCAAACCTTTTTAATTTTATTCTCTAAAAATTGATTTCTGTCTTCTAAATTCTTTACTCGTAATTCCAAAGCAGAATTTTTATTTTTCTCTTCCAAAAACATTTTTTGTAGGTCTTGAACATTAACAAATAATTTAATAATTACATCCTAAAAATTTAGAAAAAAATTTTTTTAATTAATTTTAAAACTAACCTTTAAATCCAAATTAGAAGTTAACAATTCTTCCAACATTCTACAAAATTTTTAAATAAAACTTTCTAAATAAAAAAAAATAAAAATTAATAAATTTTAGCAGCCGCTTCGACTGGAAATTATTTGACCTTTCTAAATTAGATATTTCAATTTTAGATATTTTGATATTTTTTGCTCTATTTGACATTATGAAAATTAATTTTTCAACAACGCGCCAAGAAATATTAATTTAAATTTTAAAAGATTTTTTTAGTTTTTTAAGCTAAAAAATTTTTGTTTTTTTTTATTTTTAATTTTTAAATTAATTTTAGTGGCTTTTTCAATGCAGTTAGACTCAGTTATAGCTGGACAAGAGAATGATGATGAATATGTGGCAGATGCTTTGCTTGCTGTAAAGCTTAACTTTGGTTAATTTAAATCTATTTTATCGTTTAATAAAATCAAAATTTAAAAGTTTCTTCAACTGATGAAATTGATAAATTTCCAAAATATTCCCCTGAATTTGCTTATCAACATTTTGGGGAAACGTTTGTTTTTTATTTAATTAATTAAAATTTATTTTCTTTAGTGAAAAGATTGTTGGCTACAAAAATCTTTCCGTTAATGTAATATATTCGGATGCTTCTCTTTTTCTTACTTCATTGGTTAAATATGATGGAATTCTTAATGGAAATTCAGCTATTCAAGTATTTTATTAATGAATTTTATTTTATAAAATCGTTTAGGCTGACAATATTGTTGAGAAAATCAAAGATGCCTTACCTAGCACACAACTGGATGCTTATTTGCCTTTTGACAAATTTAAGGATAAATTGGTTGAGCAAACTAAATTTCGTCCTTATGGAGAACTTATTTCTAAATTTTATATTGAACAAGGTTTTTAGATTTTTTTATGAATAACGCGGCAAATGACAAAAGTAAAAGTTGGGTGGTGAAGGGTTAGGAATATATGAGGGGACTAAAGGTTGAAAATAAACAACATTCCAATAAGTGAACAAAACTACAAATATAATGAATGAAAGGCGGCTGTCATACACAAAAAAAAAAGAATAATTTTCTAAAAACAGATGCGCTTATTTAAAATAATAGGAAAAATATTTACATTACAAAAGAAGGGAAAATATTTAGATTAGATAGAAAATGGGGGGAAATTCAATTAAATATATAATTTTAGCTAAATAGAAAATAATTCTAGAAATCGGTAAAGAACGCTGCTTTGAATTATACAAATTTGATAAGTTGGAAACTGATCCCAGATTGGAAGAGGGAATTAAATTTTTGGAAAGGGCTCAATCAATCGCTTTTTGGTATATTGAATCGGTAATTTTTTTCTTAATAAATTTGAAATTATTTTATTCAAGTTTCTTTACTACTTTCAATTTTTTATTTCGGGGGGTGTATTAAGGATTTCTAATTTCTTTTCTTATGTTTTGGTGGTATTTGGGAATATCTCCTCACAAGTCTGCAAATGTTTGTCCGCAAATTTCTCCTCTCATAAAAGATTAAAAATGACTTCAAGACAAAATGTTAAAATTTATAATTATGCAAATAGATAATGTAAAAATCATTTAGGAGCCCGAATCTCTGCTATTTTCTCTAATATCCATTCGAAAAAATCTTCTTTTTTAACTTCCTTTCTACACATAAATTCTGCTCGATTTCTGTCAATTTCTACGGCCATATTTTCACCATCTAAATAATTTAATGCTAATACCTATCAAAACTATTATTTAATACCTTGATTCTTCTGCTTATTTACCACGTGTTCCACACAAATACTTAGTAACTTTTTTTTCCAATCATTTGTTGTTTTTGAGTTCATCTCCAATTCCCGTTCACAAAACTTATTGTTAACTGCTGTCATTCCAATAGCCCAAGCATAAATAAAACGAACAATGGTGACAATTGGAATATGACTTCCCTCTAACCAGTTTCCAACTCTTATATTGACTTCAGAACGACACGTAGATTTACTACATTGCCAGCTAATTTGCTCACCAATACTTAACTTCATTTCGTGGCCATTTTCACAAATTTTATTTGTTGGTAGAATATTTTTTGATTGTAAAAATTTTATCGCTGCTTCTTCAGTCTTCGGAAGACTAAAAAAATTCATTGATCTAAAATATATAATTCAAAAATTTTAAAAACAAAATTAAAAATGACTGCCTTTTCTCATTGACTGCCCTATTTAAATTGATATTTCGACAGTTTTTAATCTCCATGAGAGGAGAAAAAATGAAGGAGATAAAAGGAAATTTGGGTGGGGAGATACTCCCTAAGCAGGCCCGTAGCCAGGTGAAAATGGGAAAAAGGAAAAAATTTTGGGGAGGGGATTGGGCAAAAAAAAGTTAATTTTTGGCCTACGGCCTTCAAAATTTTAAAAATTTTCGCCTACGGCGCTAAAAATTTGGCCCAGAAAAATTTCCCCCCATTCCTCCCTCTATTATGGACTTGTCCCTAAGTCTTTTTGGATTTTTCCTTAAATTTCTATTTTCAATTCTTGCTTATATTATCTATATATTTTTGTAGGTCCAATATACAGATGAAGAGGATCCCCGTTTCTTCAATTATTTTCTTTTTGAATCTCTCAAATCTTCAAATAATGGCCTTTCTCGTTGGAAATTTGCTGGTTATGCCAATCTTTATCGTTTTTACCATTACCCAGACAAGGATAGAATTAGAATTGCGCAAATATTGTTGGCTCCTCCTTTTAGAAAAATGGGTCTTGGACCTAAATTTTTACAAGCAATATATTCCGATCTTTGGAGAATTGAAACTGTTTGGGATATTACTGGTTGTGTTTTTGATTTTTAAAATTATTTTTTTAATTTAGCTGAAGTCCCAGCAGATTCTTTTGTAATTATGAGAGATTATGTCGATGCTTTAAATTGCTCTAAATTGCCACAATTTTCGAAAGAAAATCTTATGAATGGATTCAACACAGAAATGTATAAAATAGCTCGAGAAAAATATAAATTATGCAAGGTTTTGAAATTTTTTGAATTAAAAGGTTATCAAAAGTTTAGATGCAAGCTCGTCGTATTTATGAAATTCTGCGACTTTTCCACACAAAAGTAAATGTTCCTGAAGAACTTAAGCAATTTAAAGAGGATGTTTTTAAACGATTGAAAAAACTTGTAATGGATCCAAAAAGAGATAGAGGAAGGATTGCACAATCATTTGCGGATGATGAACAATCTTTGGCTATTGCAATGATGGCATTTGAACCGGTAAAAGATGGGAAATTAACGGGGATATAGATGGGATAACTAAAGCGGGAGACAATCTTTTAGAATTTAGAAAAAAGTTGAAAGAAAATTAATAAATTCTGAAAATTGTCTATTGTCTATAGATGCCCAAAATATTTTTTTAATTATTTAAAAATTAATTAAAAATTTTCCTAATCTTTTTCTGCCTATATAATCTAATCAAATTAATTTTTAAATAATTTATTTAAAGGAACAACAGCAACATCAATTGGAAACACTTTATGAAAATTTGGTGAATAATTACAGAATTGTTTTGGATCTTTTGGCAAAATACGAGAAGGAATTTGTTAAATGAATTTAAATTAAGGAATGAAAGAATGGGGAAGTTTATTATTGATCTTATTATTTTAATTAACATATTGCTGATTTTTTTTGAATTTTTTGAATTGAAATATTTTTTCTTTAATTAAATACTTAATTTTGTAAAAGTTTTTTTTTAATTTTAAAGTTATTTTCTTAAATGAATTTCTTTTTAAATGTTGATATTTTTACTAATTTCGAAGATGAATAAAAATGATCCAAATCGAAAACCTTTTGGCTTTCCATATGATCCATATCCAATCCAAAGTCAATTAATGAATGCAATTTATAATTCGGCTGAACAGGGAAGTATTGCTATTTTTGAATCTCCTACTGGAACTGGAAAATCTTTGTCTACAATATGCGCGGTAAATTTTTTTGGGAACCAATTTTGAAAGTTATCCTTTAATGGTTATAGTATCAGAATTGGTTTTGCCTTATTTTTAGAAATATCGACATAATAGAAATTTATTTTTCAGTCCCTAACATGGCTCGAGGAAAACGAAAAAAGGCATCTAGAAGATGTTGAGAAGCGAATACGAGAATTATGTTTGAATTTGCAAGGTTTGTTTTCTTCTAATTTTCTCCTTATTCTTCCCTTCCAATTTCCATTTTCTTTTTTGAAAGTAGCAAGAAAATGTCATCATGTGTTATAAAATGGAATTGGTCATAATCCTCTCCCTTTATCGTTTCCATTCCATTTTCCTAAAAAGAACTTTGGGGAATTTTCCGAGAATTTTTCAAAAAAAACCTCAAGAGCAGTCAGTACATGTTCTTTAGTCAAAAAATGGCTGCTAAATCGTTTCCCTCCAAATCGGTATTCTGTTGCGTGAAATATTCCTCCTTGAAGTAACCAACCACCAGGCTTAATTAATCCACAAGCTCCATTTATAGCCCTCTTGTAGCCTTCAAGTGTTTCACAAGAATATTCCATACAAAACACTGTTGTTACTAAATCGAATTGTTTTGGAATTTCTTTTAAATTTTCTGCTTTCCATTCAATACTTTGAATAACTGGACGTTTCTGTACATTTACCTAGAAACTTTTTCTAAAAGAAAATATTCTCTCTCTCAATAATTACCTCTAAAACAGCCCTCATTTTCTCTCTAGTAAAATCCTGCATTTGTAACGGTTTCTCATGTCTTGCTTCTATCCCAGCAATCCAACAACAAATCTCAGACCAATCAAAACTATTTTTTGCAAATATCCAATCAATTACTCTTTGCCTATTTTGTGGGGAATAATCGGAACTAAAAATTGATTCAATATGGTTTCGCAAAACTAAAGGAATGTATATTGTTGGACCTTAAAATTTTTTTTTGGAAAATATTTTCTATAATTTTTTACAACCTGCACCCAAATCAAGCATTGTACCTATAGTTTTTGGAAGTCTACAAACCATCCCTGGTAGGAAAAACAGCACTATTTGCATTGCAACATCCTCACGTGGAGATTTGTAGAATCCCTATCAAATAATTATTTTTGGGGTGGAGATTGCCGTTCAGATTTTCTCTCTTTTTTCTTACCTCTAAATACTTGTCTGGATCAAACTAAAAATTAGAATATTAATAATTTTATTTATTTCTTTACTTGTTTGTCATGTTCATCAGCTCTAAATATTGGATCAGGAGGAGATTTTTCCTTTTCCTTATTTTCATTTTTATTCTCTTCTTTATTATTATCCTCATCCAATTCGCACCTATACAATTGAACAATTAAAGGGTGGACATTTGTTGTTGTATTTTTGTAATTAAGTCCATCTTCCGTTGTTTCCTCTTGTTTAGCAGCCATTTAAGAGATTAGTTAAATTATATTTAAAATGTTCTCCATGTGTTGGTTCTTTCCAGATCTTTTAAGCTTTGCAGTGAATTTTTCTTGCTACTTTAAGATCGATCATTCTCTTAAGATTAAGAGAAAGGAAGAAGAGTGTTTAGTGGATATTTGTAAAGCACTAGAAACTGAGGGTTTTTTGTTATTTGTTTTAAAAGATAAACATCAAAATAAGTGTAGAGAAAGTGTGTAAAAATGAATTAACAGAAAGTGTAGCTCTTAGAAAAAAAATAAATGGTAAATTGGAATTTTTTGTTAGAATATTTTGGAACATTAAAGTGAAAAACAGATAATTTTGTAAAAAAATATTAATTTTTAGAAGACGGTTATGACACAGATTGGATAAATGTACACAAACAAAAGATGGATATTGAACAAGAATTGGATGAACTTCGGGAAGAAAAAGCAAAACAACAAAGAATACAACAAAGATTGGCACAAATACGTCAAGATCAGAAAGAATTTAGAGAATCTGGAATTAAAAAGAATAGAAAAATACGTAGAGGGAAGAGATCTCGTTCAGTAGAAAATGATTTAGAGAATGCTCCTCCTCCTGCCTCTTCTGATATTATTACTTTAGAGGATGATAGTGACAACAAAAATGATTTTAATAAAAGAAGAGATAGAGTTGAGTTTTTTTAAATTTTTTAGGAAAGATTCTGGGCTTTCTCTGAATTTCCCACATACCTTTCATTAACATCCCTTGTTTTGGATGACTGGAATTGTTTTTAGGTCCCCTCTCGGACACTAATTTTTACTGTAAAATCCTCTCAATAAATTTTTACTTCTTTTTAAAATTCTTTCAAGGATTTACTTCTCAGTGATAGCGAAGAAGAAGGCGATGAAAAGAAAGCTTTCAATAATTCAATTAATGGTGACCCTCCAGAAAGTGAACCTGTCCTTCGGTGTAATAAATTAATTTATGCTAGTCGAACTCATTCTCAAGTAAATTTATTTTTTCAATTTAAAAGTTAATAATTATTTAGTTGGAACAATTTGTTAAAGAATTGCAGAAAACAAATTTCAAGCCACGGGTATTAACATTGGGTTCGAGGCAGATGCTTTGTGTTAATGAAGTAGGGGTTTTTATTATAAATTTAATTGTAAAATCTAAAAGAGTAGGTAAACTCCTTCCAATTATTAACCTCCTTTCTGTTGCTGCTCAATAATTATCTTAACTTTGTTCCTTAAAAACCTATGTGGATTCTTTCATGGATTCATATAAATATTCTTCAAATTATTTTTAGGAAGTTCGCGAACTTGGAGAAGGCAAATTAATTAATGATCGATGTAATGAACTTCTTAGCAGTTCAGGCAAGAATACTGAAGACGGGAAGCGTCCAAAATTGGTATTTAAATAAAATTAAAATAAAAAATTAAAGAAAAGGCTAATGAAAACATTTCAAATTTTCTATTTTATTTTACATAACACTTCATTACTTAATTTAAAATTTAATCCGTTTAGGAATGTGAAGTCCCAAAAAGTGGTTGTGGTTGTTCTTATGCAAAAGGTGATGCTATAGAAGAATTATCTGATGCAATATTGGCTGTTGATGAAGATGAAAAATTTGTTGGTCAAGCTAGAGGGATTTCACAATTAGTAAAGTTGGGGCGTCAAAGACATGGATGCCCATATTATGCAAGCAAAACAGCTTTAGGATTAAGCCAATTAATTTTAGTCCCTTACAATATTTTATTGCATAAAAGAACGAGACAGGCGTGGAATCTTGATTTGTCAGGAAATGTTATTATTGTTGATGAAGCACATAATTTATTACAAACATTGGCTAGCATACATACTGTTTAGTTTATATTTTTAATTAGGGTTGGGGGCCCGGTCCGAAAGATCGAGTCGGCATCTAATTTTGGCCCAAAAAAGACTCGGTTTTGCCTGCCCGAAAAAATGACTTGAACGTCGGCCCGACTCTAAAACCCCAGCCCTACTTTTAATTAAGCAAAAATAAATTTATTTGGGTGCTTATGAAAGGGCGTCTAATCAGAACTATCCACAATTGCGGATTTCCAAAATTTTGGGATTTTTTGGCTTGTGGATTTTTTGCGTCCAGCTTTGTTGTCTGCAAATGCTGATTGATTAAATTATGTTTTGTAAAAAAATTTTAGATTGCAGACAGTTAATGGGAGGAAATTCTTTCCCTTTTTAACTTTCGATTTTTCTGATTGCCATTCATAAATCTTTTTAAATTTTATTTTAAATTTTCCACAGGTAGAATTAAGCAATAATCAATTAGATGTTTGTTGTCAATGTTTAAGTGATTATATGGAACATTTTCAAGATCGTTTAAGTTTTCGCAATTTACGCAATGTTAAACAACTTCACTGTCTAGCATATTCAATGTATCAATTTCTTGGTTCTATTTCTAAAGAAAAAGGGTCTTCTACAGATGGAACTGTTATTAATATGGCACATTTTTTTGCTCAAGTAAAAATTTTTTTGTCAAAAATTTTTTTCACAATTCTTTTTAGTTAGGCGATGCAATAAATATAGACTTATGCCGTTTACTTTCATATCTCGAAAATTCACAATTATGCAGAAAATTGAGAAATTTTCGGCTAAGATATCGTCCACAAGTAACAATATACAACCCTAATCGTGAGATTTAAATTAATTTTTAATTGATTTTTAAATTTTCTTTTTTAGTTGCTCCTGTAAATATTACACCTTTATATCAACTTCGTGATTTTATTGAAGTAATTAACATTTTTTGGATTTTATTTTGAAAATATAAACCACGATCTTAGATACTCCTAAAACATATTTGGATACGATTTTAATAGAGATAGAAAATTTTAAAAAACCTTGATTCTTTATTTTGATTGAGGACCATGACCAGATTTTTGGCCTTAAGTGAGGGAAAAATCAAGGAACACCGAAATGCCTTGATCTTAACCAGGTATTTGGATCCATATCAGGCCGATCTATAGATTTTAGTACTTCTGACTGACCTGCTGGGGGGTAAAGCTGTCTAAGAGATACCCTCGATTTAAGATAGTCCTTATTATAAGGTACAATTTTTCAACTAGGGGAAGGGGGTGTGGTATTTAAAATGAGGTTTTTGATTTATTTACATTACCTAATGTTCCTCAATTTATTCTCTTTATTTACTAGGCTTTAACTTCTCGGTCGGAAGACGCCCGTATAGTTATTGACCGAACAAATATTCGAGATCCTCGTTTACGCTTTATTTTACTCAACCCAGCAGAAAAATTGAGAGATATAGTAAATGAATGTCGATCGTTAATTTTACTTGGAGGAACAATGAGACCAGTTGATCAATTAATGGATGCATTTAAAAGAGTTTGTAAAATACCCCAACAACGAATTAAAGTATTTTCTTGTGGACATGTAATTGGGCCTAAACAACTTTTGGCTATCTCTATTGGTGAATTTTTAAAATTTTTCTGAACTTTTTTTAATTTTTAGGTAAAGGACCAGATGATAAACCATTAAGTTTAAATTTTGCAAATCGTGATTCTGAATCAGTTTTACGTTCATTGGCCCAATCTTTTATTAATTTAATTAGACAAATACCTAATGGAGTTGTT